CTTAGCTAAACAATTATAATCAATATAAACGTGATTTAACAATTTATATATAGTATCATTTTTGTATATCTATCTTTTTGTTGTTTAAATGCGTAATAAAAAGAAGCTTATTATATGTTGTATGAATTCTTGATGATATAATATTTTTCTTTACAATATAACTTATAATTGTTAATTAATAGAGCATAATTTTATTGGGTTATTTATTTTTTTCCTAATCTTTTATGAAAAAAATATGTTTAATTTCTAAATTAAATTATAAAGCATTTTATTCATACATTTTATAAAAGTTACATAAAACATAATGATCAACTACATATAAAAGTTATATTTTAATTCATTAACAAACTATATATATGAAAATTATATTTTCATTTATTATAGAACTTTGTTTGTTAAATGAAAATCCATTTACATCTCATTTGTTTGAAAGAATATTTTATATTAATTTTCATAAAGTATAAGATAAAATACTCTATAATTTAACTTAAAACAAAATGCAACTATTTATAGTAATTTAGAAACAAAAATATATTTAACTCTTTTTATTTTAATGTTGGATTTGTTTTTTTAAACTTATAATGAATCATATTGTTTTTAGAAAATGCTTTTCTTGATTAAGGTGAAGTTTTGACATTGACATAGCTTAGGTTGGGAAGGTTTGCATACTCCATGAATTTAATTTTGAATAATTGTTTCAAAAAATATTATTATTTTCAAATTTAACTGTTTTAAATAAAGGAAGATGAAACTTTATAGATGCGTTAATGATAAATTAAAGGTTGAAATTGGAATTAATTTAATATATAATATCACAACTTTAAACAATTCACATTCTAACAGTGATAGTGCATGCATTTTGTTTTCTAAATTTATTTATTTGTGTATAATTGAGAAATAATAATTAAAATCATTTGAAATTTTAAAACAGTATACCAAACAATAACACATTTTTTCTAATAGAAAATGGACTGACCCATGTGAGGGTTGCTTCTTCCGTAGAAGACACGACCTAAAATAAACATTTTATTTAAAGTAAACGCCATCTATGGAAAACCAGGATTTCAAATTTTGGGAAGAAATTGATCAAGTTGGAACACAAAACAAGTTAACTTATGATTCTGACTGTAAATTAATAAGACAGCCATGAACACAAGAGTGTGGAGCAGAGCACAAGTGGCACGTGCCAGACCCGCAACTCACGATTGACCGGGTCATTCATCAAAGGCCCAGACCAAAACACAGGTCTTAGGTTTTAAGTTCTAGAATTAGGCATGTTGCATGCGTTTAATCACACGCGCCATTTCTTCAACTTATTGACTTATTATGATTACATTATTCTTTCCTTCTCCATCTACTCTCTACCGCTTGTGATAAATACCGTAACCACGCCATCACTTCCTTCAAACTTCCACCATATACAAAACAATTCCAACATACTTTTCTTCTCTTTTCTCCATTCGTTCTTCTTAAAAGTCTCTGCTTTTTTTTCTCTCCTTTCATTCGCAACTTCACTTCTCTTACATACTCTGATATGAAGCTCACAGCGCTCCTACTATTCACTTTTGCTTTGGTGTTAACCACCACCACCGCATCAGATCCTGATCCTCTTCAAGACCTCTGTGTCGCTGATCTTGCCTCAGGTACTCTTTTTCTATCAAAGATGCCAACTTTCATGCACACCTTCACTTTCCACTTAATAATTATATTTCATCCTTTTTTCTTAATCAATTCATTCTCCCAGACCTATCAACTCCTTTGGTTTTGCTTTTTGATCAAAAGTTCCTCACTTGATTAACTTTTCCCTTCCCCTCACCCGTTTCTACAATTCAACATTAAAATAAACTTCTCACCAACTCCCATTAATCATTTCGCATTTCTGTAGCATGATTGGTGCACTGAACTTTTGATTCGTGTATAATTTGATAGTGAGGTTTTTCTATTTTGTATAATAGACAGACAGAATTTGACTACACGAGAATTGTGATCTGCATAACATTTTTTTGTGTGTGTGTGTGCAATTGTGATTGTTACAGCTGTTAAAGTGAATGGATTCACCTGCAAAGATGCTGCGAAGGTAAATGCGACTGATTTCTTCTCAAACATATTAGCGAAAGCAGGTGCGACAAACAACACCTATGGGTCCTTGGTGACTGCAGCCAATGTTCAGAAAATCCCAGGACTGAACACCCTTGGTGTATCTATGTCACGAATTGACTATGCTCCAGGTGGGATCAACCCTCCTCACACGCACCCACGTGCCACCGAGATTGTGTTTGTGATGGAAGGAACACTCGATGTGGGATTCATAACCACAGCCAATGTGCTCATATCAAAGACCATCACCAAGGGTGAGACTTTTGTGTTCCCAAAAGGCTTAGTTCATTTCCAAAAGAACAATGCGAAGGAACCTGCTTCGGTCATTGCAGCCTTCAACAGTCAATTGCCTGGCACACAGTCCATTGCTCTCACCCTCTTTACAGCCACACCACCTGTTCCAGACAATGTCTTGACCAATGCCTTCCAGATTGGTACCAAGGAGGTTGAGAAAATCAAGACCAGGCTTGCACCATAGAAATAATTTATGTTTGAATCTGCTTCTGTTATCTCTGTCATTGCTCTTCCACGCTTCTTCTGTCTTCTCCTTGTTGCTTTACGATTCATGTTTGATGGAAAATCATAAAGGATTTAGAATGTGAGTGAATGGGGTATATTCATTTCTTTGATAATTGCAATTTGAAATATCATCGCACGCTTCTTATTTTCTTAATAAAATCTTTCATTAGTGGTAATGTTTCTGCCGTTGACTTCGTAATAGTTATGTTATGAATATGTGCTCCACAACCTTGCCTACTGTTCTCCCGTGAAAGTGTGAAATCTGAATTTATTCATATTTTCCTCTCACTTCGTTTCTTCACTACGAACCAAAGTAAAAGTAAAAGAATAAAATACGAAAGGGACAAAAACTTAATAAAAAGTAAACAGATTAAACTAATAAGTTCAAATGTGTTTTTTTTATGTAAGACAAAATTGAAATTTTGTTCATAAACTTGATATAATTTTCTTATTAAACTTATAAAATTTATGGATATTATATTATTCTAGTAATTCAATTGTGTTAAACTTTTCACATTAAAAATATTAATTTTTTTTTAAAGTTTAAAAATGAAACTATATCAAATTTTGGAACTAAATTTTAATTTTAAGTAAAAAATTAAAAACTAAAAATATATTTAAACCAAACTAATAATAAAAAGGAAAACTTATAATTAACCTATATGATTTGAAATCACATAGACTTCTTGTTCTTACCAATTTTTTTATACTAGTACTGCAATAATTTTATACTTCAACACTTAATGACACATTCATTTTTTCTTCACACCTTTTTGTCTTTATTATGTAAAAAATTGTGCAAGCATAAGCGATGTCATTTTAGTACAGATACTGTTAATTTAAGTTACTATATTGTCACCAATCCAAATGCGATATTCAAATTGATGAGTGTCTTTTTTTTTTTTGGAAAATAAAATGTGATATACTGTTAAAGAACCGTTACATTATATGTTTGAAAAAACAGCAAAAGCTGGTCACTAAGTATGGGAGAAGTTTAATTATATACTTTAACAAGGTCATCGGCATACATATGGAAGGTGCAAATTACAAAATCAATTAACTAATGTTGCACTATCAACCCATATTCATTTCGCAGATTACCTCGTGCAACCAATTTAACCTATCTCCAAATATAATATCAAATTTCTGAAAAAATGGTCTTGTTGCTCAAGAGCCATATTCTAGTGTAAGGACCACTCTTAATATTTTTTATAACAAAAAGATGCAACTTTTAATAATATACGAAAAATTTTGAATCTCTAAAATGAAACTCAGTTTAGTATTTTTACCTGCTATCTTCGGATTTGGTAAATGACCAAACTCGTATTTAATTTGAATTCAAAATTTAAAGTCCACGAAACAAGTAACTTGTTATTTATTAATTTGGTCAATCTATTAATAAATTTTATCAATTCTATAACTGGATATTTTCTATAAAATGCTCAATATATAAATATTGATAATTTTAATCTATATATATATAATGATAACTTTTGAAACAAATGACACAAATTCAACGGATAATAAAAAGATTTTACTATTGCATGAACTTGAGGGGACCTTACATTGATTTGTGTTTCAATTAATAATAAGACTATATGAAATGAAATAAATAAATAATAAAACTGAAAAAGGAAACTTATTTTTTCACCATAACATTTCCTCCTAACTCTTAAAATAAGAACTTCTTTTGTTCTCGTAAATATGAATAAGCTGAGTGGGATTCAAACTCAAATATCTGAATAATTTGGAATAAATTCTCTTAATGATGCGGAATGTTCCTAGTTAGCTTTTATTTATGTTTCATTCTGTTGAAAATGAGGCATAATTGCTGTAATGAGAGCACTTGAGGAGAGAGCGTGAATCGTTAGTTATACATATCTACATTATCACCTTACAAGAAGGTAGGTACATAAAAACAAGAGTTAAATATTGAACAAGGAATGCAAATTTCTTGCACCCTTCACTTTCGGATGTACAAAAAATATGGTTTGATTTAATTATTTCCAAAATTTTAAGTGTTGGATTTATTAGCTGCGGCAAGTTCAACAGATAAGATGAAAGATGAATTGCCTGCTTCCCTTATATAACGTACTTCTCCATTCATCAGCTTTAGCAGCTTTCTGCTAATCAGCATGCTGATACCTTCCTCAGATTCATCACCATCACGTCCAAACATTTGGTTCAGCAGTGTTTCTGGAACCCCAAAACCATCATGTGTTATGCTGCAAAAAATAACAAAACCAAACACAGGGATTAACAAATTACATATCTATATAATCTCAATATAGCATAACAAGTTTATTTTCCTTGAGAAGTCCTGTTACATGAATCCAATTCAGGGTGAGCGTGACCTGAGTTGGACCTGTATGAACATAGAAGTGTAGGGATAATCTAAGTGTGAGTCTAAGTTTCACATTGGATATAAACATAGAAGTGTTGAGAATAATCTAAGTATGAGTTTAAGTTTCATATTGGATAGAAATGACAAAGTTAAATATCATATAAAAAAAATCCATAAACTTAATGTGTTGAGATTTTGGATTAAAAGTGGTGTTAATTTTTTATGTGAGTTGGACTCAAGTCACTATAATCTCTTCCTAATAATTACCTTAAAAAAACAAAACAAAACCATAAGTGGTTAATTACCTGAGCTCCAAATTAGCAAGATGAACTAGTTTCCCTAACTGCTGTTTTGCTAATGAGGCTGCCACAACAACCTGACCTCCAGTTGGTGTGAAATTGATGGAAACCAATAAAAAGTCGGCTAAGACCTGCTGGAGCCTGAGACCATCACCGTATAAGGTTTCTGTTGTGATCTGCTCTTCAACATCATTGACCACTCGGACACCTTTTGCATTACCTTTTGTCATGGCTTGACTTAAGGAGGCAACTAACACTTCATGCAGAGTAAATTCAAGCATCTCCAAATCCAGATACCTGTTGAAGAAGCAGGAAACAAATGAGCATAAAATAAACTGAGTCAAATTTATGCAGGACAGAAGGGATGACTAGTAAGACTGAAGTCTATGCTTCTACTGTAAAAGCACAATATTTAGCAATATCATACCCATCAATGATGCTGTCAAGATCTGAGTCATCCAGGACTTTGCTAAGTTGGCGTTGACACCGAGTACCCGTTTGCAGAAATTGTATTTGTTCAGGTCCCAACTGAGTACCTTCTAACAATTTCCGGGTGAAAACAATCCCGTATAAAGGACTCCGAATTTGCCTTTTCAAATAAGTTAAAGCTTTCAGTCTTTTGGATGCAGTTTGTTCAGATAGGTGCTGAATGTGTAATGCTTGTTGAAGCTCTGGACTAGCTAGTTGCAAGAAGCAGAAGACTCCAGTAACTACACCCTCTGCATCCAACTTCTTACTCACAGAAAGCAGACATTCTACGTGTTTCCCATCACGAGTAATGAAACTAAAAGGAATCTTCTCCGTTTCCAAACCAGCCATGGCTTTGTTAAGTACAATGCTGAAGTTAACAACAGCTTCCTGATTCCTTAGACGACAACAAGCTATATGTGTACCAAAAACCTCCCCTAAAAGCATTTTATCCATCACCTCCTCTCGCTTCCATCCAGTTAACTTTGTCATAGCTGAATTCCATTCAGAACACCACCCAAATTCATCTGTGCCAAATATTGGAGGGATCAATGGGTTTGGGTTCTGCACAATTGCCTTGTAGTCGCCTTCAATTCGGGTGAATTTGTCCATCACTGTCTTCTGAGCAGTTATATCTTGGGCCACAAAACAAACCCCCACAACATTATCTTGAAGATCCCTGCTTGCACAAGCATTGACCACCAAGCTGATAGGACCAGAATCAATCTTCAAATCGTGTGTTTTTATCTCAAATTGCACACTTTTCTCTTCCTCACCTGATCACGTTGTAACATGTTAAATTATAGGAAGTTCAGATCAAAATTACGTTTAACTTCGTAGCCAAGACTAATTAATAATTCTTCCATAATGCAATATTCATGAATGACTTTAGGGAACATGGCAACCTAACATGTAAATACTCACTCTTTCAAAATGCTAAGACCTAAAACAAATAGGAGAACTTGTATGATAATAAGACGAGAAAAGAAAAAGACATACCCTGCAGTGCCATGTCCAACATCTTCTTGACTCTATCTACTGAAAAATCTTCAACAAGAGTGAGTAAATGCTTCCCAATAGCTTGTTCAACTGGAAGACATGTCAACTCAGCAATTTTTGTATTCCACCCGTTGACCATTCCATTGACATCAACAGCCAAAATTGGTACTGTTGCTGTTTCAATTAACCTTACCATCTCACTAGTCACTGCTTCCAGTTCTTGCATCCCTTCAATTTTCAAATCGCCTAATCTTGTATTGATAGCATATGTGCTTATCTCCATACTCTCGTTGTCTTTGAATGCATTTCTCAGTATTAGTTGCAATGAATGAATGACGTCCATTTCATAATCCTTCCAGGGCAAACTCCTTGTCTTCACAACTTCAAGGAAAGCCTTGAATGAAGATCTTGGATGCATCCTGCTACCATCATCCCTTTCACCAGGCTCATGCTTTGCACCACCCCATCGAATTTCTGCGGCTGTGTGAGATCGGAACCAGAAAACTATTTCTTTGGAAGATATTCTGACAGCTGCCATTCCACAAGTTATATCACCAAGAGTAGCAGCCCCTGGGAAGCCTGCATCAGACAAGCTATCTGTACTCAAACCTGTGGAATCCCTGTGACATTCAGAGAGCCACAAAGCTATCTCTCTTATCTGGGATTCACTTGGTGTTACCCCTAATCTCCATACCTTGTTTTTATACAACAGTGCTGCACCATCGCACTTAACAAGGTCCATAATGTTAGGACTCTGTGATACAATACCTAGGGGTGCATCTCGCATCAGCATATCACACAAGAGTGTTTGAGTCCTCAGGATATTCTTCTCAATAATCTGATACTCTATCTCAAGTTCTTTGTTCACATGGATGGCAAATACCTGAGCCAGGAATTCGCAAGCATACCTGAGAGGGAAAGGAACAAACCTGGGAGTGGAGTGATGGCAAACTACTAAACCCCATAATCTCTTTCTCTTCTGTGGCTGAACAGCATCAGAACTATCCCCATCTTCATCATTGTCATTGACCACAACGGCCATAACCAAGGAAGCACTAGAATTCATATTTTGCATGTATTGCAAGTGACAACTGTGAGCAGCCCTCAAGGTTGATCCACACAGAGTTAATTCAAATGGAATTTTTTTGTCTTGAAGCACCTTCACATGCTTTGCACGACAATCAACTATCATACGCACCTTGTTCTTCATAAACAAAAAACGTGTAGCCTGAGGAATATCAGTTGCTGGGTAGTGCAATCCCAGATACGGCTCTAGGTCTGGCCTTTTCACTTCAGCAATCACTTCCCCGTGATCATCCTCATGAAATTTATAAGCCATCACTCTATCATAACCTGTTAGTTCAAAAACCTCTCGAACCATTGTGTCACACAGAGTGTCCATGTTCCCACTAGGCAACGATTGCAATCTAGTTATTGCTTTTGCTGCAAATTTATAGGACTGCAGGGCACCTGCTGCAGTCATGGGAACTTCATGAGGCTTGACTGGCTCAAAATCAATGATCACACTGCCGGTAACACGATGGATAATTGCATAAAAGGGCTTCCCAGAGGACTTGCAATGAACTAGAATGGGGTTAAGAAGTGAAACCTCCCCAAATCCCAGTGCCTTCTGAATAGAAGTAGAACTCGGGGAAGTGAAAATAGTTCTGATGTCAGTGCCAATTCCCAGAGCAGGGTGGTCACCAACACTGGGGACAGCCTGGCTAACCATGGTTAGCATTTCAGGTGCATTCTCACTGTAAGCAATGACCCTAAATGTTTTCTCATCTAACGCTAGCAAGCACCCAAATGGTTGGATAAGCTTGCTTTTCTGTAACTGATGGAGGTAAGCAGTTGTTACTTCATCAGACCTTGGTTGATGATCACCACTGGCAGTGCCTGTGCCAGGGGACAATCTCACTGAATTGGAGTAGTTAAAAGAACTACCGGATTCCTCGAAAGTTGCATGCAGTTTTGCGTCTAAAGTTGTCTGAGCAAGAACCCTAGCACTGCGTCTTGATGATCTTGATCTGCCAGAATTATTGCTGGACGATTGACTAGGCCTTGAGGAGGACATTGTCACTTCAACTGCACTTGAAATAAACCACAAGCACAGAATCACTAAGTTAATATCTCGCAAGGAAGAATGGAATCTGCTTGATTGCTCTAAAAGAGATGCAAAGCTACTATGGACCTTGTCAAATGACATCATCCTTACTCACTATCACAATTCAAGAAGAGAAAGTGAATTTTTTGAAACTATAACATTGACAAACTTTGAAAGGCATATCATATTGCTTAACTACTATATATCCAAAGTTCAAATAATAACAGTATTATTTGTTTTTATCCTTAGCACTCTTCCGCTGCTATCTGATGCTCACGGTAAGAGGCCATAAATTCTCCAAAGAATTTCACTGGTATAAACTCAACTAAACACACTCCACTCAGCAAAACATAACTTTATTTCATTTTTAGCAAATTTCTGTTTATTTTTTTCCACTTTAATTTGCAGGAACAGTGAATGGTACGGTGTCTTAATTGACCCGGAAACGACAGAAGAAACATCTAGAGTACGGTAAAAAAGAATTTTCCTTTCCAGGAAGGAGTACATACACCAGAAACGTTAAAAAAAAGGAAGAAGCAAATTTAGGAGAATAAGGAATAATAACCAACGTATCCAGAAGAAGCAACAATCATGAACTGAATAGAAAGAAAATGCAGAAGAAGAAACCCACCTTGCAAGGAAAAATCTGATTCCAACCAATGAGCAGAGAGAAGGTCTGAATAGAAGCAGAAAGCAACTGGGGAATATAAATCCCCGATAGCTACTTACTGTTTAGCTGCATCTGTAGATGAACAAGAAGAAGAAGAAGAAAATCTTAACCACCGACCTTTGGGACACAAGTGGAAAGTGGGAACCCCTCCAAGCTCACAGAACTCGGCAGTTAGAACTGAGACACAGTAGATAATGCCATGCCATAGTAAAAATAACAATTTAAGACTACTCTCTCTCTTTCTCTCTCTCTCTCTCTCTCTCTCTCTCTCTCTTTCTGGTGCTTACTTATATTTAATATTATCATGCAATCATATAGCTTATTATAATATTACTGCTATAAAATAAAATAATGGATTGGTTTCTAAGTAAGGGACGGGTGATGATGATTGCATCTATAAATAGAAATAAGCAACTTTTGCTGCTCTTATCACGATCTGCTTAATCACCTACAACTCTGACTTTTCTTTTTGTTTGATTGTTGGATACAAATTTATGAGAAGAAAATACTCAAAAACCTTATTTTGTTTGTATAACTAATTAAGCAAGCTTCCTTCTAATAAAGGTTAATTACGCTACTAGATGGAAACTATTTTCTGGGTCACTCATTTTTTTCATTGGATAGCGTAGCAACCCCATCCGTAGAAGAGGAAACATACATAGCGAATAGCAACAAGAAAAAGAGTTATGGGTGTCACGTGCAGCTCCCGAAGCTTATGCCTTTGAACAACTTTTAACTACAAAAAAGGTAAGAATACCACAAGCAGCCACATTTCCACTGCATCTGCTGACTCAGACCAACGATAATCAAATGATGGAAAGTACAGGCATGTGTAAGTTATTTACAACACCTTTATACTTGTTAAGGTTTGATTCTTTTTTACTTAATTGTTATTATTATGACGGCTGAGAAATGAAAGCGTACGTGTACCTTTCGAAACCAAGTCAACATAATAATAACAAGATACTATTTTAATTTTATTAAATGAATAATACTTTATAAGACAAAATTTGTATACATTCTCAAGAAATGATCATGCTTGAAACACACCTATTTTAGTAATATATATATATATATATATACTCAAATTAGGTTTATTAGAGGATTAACAAGAATTGATCTGTATTTTAGTGATATGATATGCTGAAATTAAGGATGGTAAATTGATAGAAGCATCTGTGTAGTGGAGGTTTGGCCTTATCAGTAAAGTGGATCTTTATTGGAAGATGGTTGATTCAATGATAGCGTAATGTGCACGTAGGGTTGCTGTCATGAGGTGGTACTTGCGATTTCCAAGCTACAGCGTTGGAAGTTAGAAAGGTTTCTAATCAACTACACACAACACGACCAATGGCTTTTCATTTGAACCCATCATGGATAAACTACAGTTTTTATTATGTCTATATTTAAAAGTAGGTCAATTGATATTTTATTTGTTACTTTTTTATAATATTCAAACTTATATCATTTTAAGATACTTTCATTAAAAAAAAGTTTATGATATATAATTTTAAAAATAATCCTTAAGAAAATTAGCTTAGTTCTTTAATAAAACTTTAAAATTGTAACCTAGTTTTTTTTTTTGAAAGAAACATCTGTTTGATAGCATACAGACATCTATTTAAAATTGTAACCTATTTAATTAGTTCTCTTTGCTTGCTATTCCCTACTCCACCATGGTCCTCACCCTACCCACATGCAAACTCAACATCTGCTTTATTGATTTATTAGTTCGTCTTTCAAATCATCCACTAATTCTTGAGCTTTCCCCACACCCCTCCAAGAGTTTATTTTCTCAGAAGCCCACAAGTGCAGTGCTGAGGAGATGAGTTATTGATGGTAGAGCTGTTGTTATATCTACTATGGTTGAAGCTTTAAAGCTCTTATTGTTCTAAGCTTCCTATATATGTTAATTACATAGCAACGTCGACATAAATGTTGGTGCCATTGACATTAATATATGACACATTGTTGGTTGCATCGACATTGTGAGGTCGGGAAAAACATCAATGCTAACAAATAATTAACTTCATCACGTTTATCAATTACAACTAGTTTTGGTGGTGCAGTATGTTATGTGGCTTATAATTTGAATCGAAAGAACATTATTCATATTCAGACCACCTTGTTCCGGTATCAATTTGGTTTCCATCACTATATTATTTAAGGAAAAGGTAAATAGCACAAAAACATTTCGCAGAAACAAACCAAACAGATAATCAAGTTAATTGCTCTTGCTGTTACGGTAGTGTGACCATTCACCACTGCAGTTATCTTCTCTTTGATAACAATGGTATTTGATTCAGAACATTTTGCCTCCCAGAATTCCAGATATTCTTTTTCTTTTCCAAAAAACATGTTCCTTTAACGAGGTGATGTGCTGAGCTCGGTTAATCTGTTTCCAGAATTGTGTTCCAGCCTTGCGACCATTTATTGGAATAACACGCTTTTGCTTTTGGGATTCCTCTGTTTGTAACCAAAAGCAAAAGCTTTAGGGATAAAAGAATCTCATAAGTAGAAATTCTCTATTGTTTGGATAAGGATACCATATTTCTTATCTATTAGTCAAAACCTGCAAGTTTGCCTGAGAATCAGAACTATGTGATATTACAGCATAACTGGTTTTCTTTGGCAGATGAACTCAACTTATGATAACATTTAACCTTACTTAGTACGAGAATATTTAAGCAAACTAACATTTCCCATTCAAAAATAGATTGTGCCAGAACTAAATTAACCAGATACCCCACAATAATCATGCAACATGAAACTATGCATGCATAATAGAGTAATCGTATGACACGGGATGTTGATATTTTTATTTTACCATTTGTTACAAAATTAGCAAATCATCAATCACAAGTCATTTTTTTCAGGTAAGACACCTTGTAGGCAGTTCACAACCTTTCTTTGTCCTTGTCAAATATTGTAAAGCATCAATTTCTCCTTCATCCATTGCACAACTGATTCTTTAAGAAAATAAAAATCTGAACAATAAAAGCTAGACAAACAAATTTCAATACGAGCGCAGTAGTGAGGCGAACATCCATCCCTCCTTCCCCAAATAAATAAATAACGAGTACATTACAGGGCATCAGCCTCTGAATTAGTGATGAGAATGAAATAGATTGCCAGAAAAAATAGTGATTAAATGCCACCAACAAACACAAGAAAGAGAGATCAACAAAGAAAACTAACTTTTTCTTCTTCTTTATCTTGGTTTTCTTGTTTTCTATCTCATGTAGAATGTTAAAAACTAAAATATAAGTCATATAAGGAATTTAGCCTTGCTATGGGTCAAAGATACAAGTCGCAGCCAAGACGAAGGTGTACCAACATGATTTCCACTACCAAGTTTGGGACCATAAGTAGACCTAGATCACACATCTAACACAATAACTCAACAGCTGGACCATAGCAAAATGTGTACCTCGAACTCAGGTTTCGTACAGAAGCCACTGGATCAAAACCACAACGCATTACCAACCCTCACTTTCAATTTCTTTAGTCAATATGGAAACAGCACGGTGCTACACAAACAAAACCACAAAAAGTAAAGGGTTTCCCTCCTGCATCATGAAAAATCCCATAGAGACTGCTATAACTTTGCTTTTGGCTGGGAATAAATTGAAGCAAAGAATTTTTCTGGCAAGAACGAAATTTTCTTGAGATGAAGTAACAAAATAAAATATTAAATATGATATGGAGATGTTGAAAAAACCTTCGTAACATTGAAAGTAATTTGAAACAACAATATAAATGTTAATTGAACCCATTAATTATAAATGTTCTGAACTCCCTTGAAATTGGACTTTAAGCATCCAAATGAAAAGAAGAGAGCATAAAATTGTCGAATGTAGAAAAGATCTTGAAGAGAAAGATTGAAATGCATACT